TTTTTGTGGATAAACATTGAGTACAAAATGTTCTTTCGTTAATCATCGGTGTAACATAACGTTAGAATACCTCGCTTAGTTCATTGAAGGTGATCTTCCTTAACTCTTTTCCTCCATTTTCATGGCTCGATATTCCTGTCATAGCCCAGGACCCTTTGCAGCTTCAGGAGGCTTTCCACGGTGTCATTTGGTGATTACACAAATCAGACATGCTCTATGATTTAAATTCCCTGGCGCAGCAATTACAAGTGTTTAGAACACTTAGGCGTTTCGTCCCCAGCTATGATCAGGTTGCATCCGTACATTTTTGGTACACGGTGTACCTTTGTTTTTTGTTCTCTTAATTTTTTCCTTACATTTTTAACTCATCAGTTTCTCTCTAAATTCTTTTGTTCTCGGTGTCTCCTTTCTCAAGTCTGAATTTCAATCCATTATTGATTTTTTTACCCATGGTTCCGCAGTTCCTTGACTGTGTAGTTTCATCATTAGCGTTTATTGTTTGCAACAGGCAGATTTGTGTTATGTTGGCTGTAAAGTTAGTTAAGATTTAAAAGTTCGTGCCTTATCTGCATGTGAACAAGGTCAACATAGCTGGAGTCAGCAGTTAGGTTGAAAAAGGAATATGGAAGACGTGGTCACGCGGGGCAGAGAAAACATGTCTGAATGTTTAGACGTTGTTTCGTTTTTAGAGTAGCGAGGACACATCGTTTTATGTCGTACCGCAGTATGACAACACATGGCTAAGGGTCCAGGAACACAATGGTAACATTGTGAAGAAAGGAGCCGCTGATGTTTCTGCGTGGGCATTTACCGTTCCGCCATCGTTGTTCGAAGACAAAGCCGTCAAGGGAGACGAACGTCGCAGCGTCACTGGTTCGTCTGCGACTTTCGTTGACGACACACTTTGCTGGTGGGGCGGCGTTAATTTTCAGAACTACCAACTCAGTAATACAACGGTCGGCTTTCATATGCCTGAGGACATCTTCGAATTCGACCCCTGGGATTTCATCAATGGTAATATTGATTGCTATGGGCCCTTGTTTAAATTCAATTACGTTAAGCAAGGAGTTTATGCATTAATTTATTTTGATTTACAATTCTACGATGCCTTGTAATGTAGTGACGTGGTTTCGAGTTCAGTCGAAACTCAACCTGTCCTCAAGTAAAAGGAAAATAATATTCCAAAGTAAATATACCAGTTTTTGCGTTCTTTTCTTTGAAAATAAATAAATACGATGACGCTGATTCCTTTCATACAGGTTTCTATTTCAAGTGTTTTTTCTAAGTGTTTTAT